CTTAGTTCTCGTATGGCCTCCGTGTCCTGAGCATCTGGGAGGGCGGTGACCTCGCTGCCTGCACTTCTGGCTTGGTGAGAACTCAGAGATGCTTGAGAGTTTCTGGTGATAGTCTGCAGATCTGAACAGCAACAGATAATCACTCTTATTAAAAGACTGGACGACAGATTACTCACGTTTCCGACACTAGCCTCTAACTTCAGAAATATCCTTGCAACTAGACTTTGAACAAATCTTCAAGATAGTTAATCTACCCAAGAGTCAGTGAAACTATATTCAAGGCATTCCAATTTCTAGCACTTTATTCTAATATCAGAGGACCAAAACCTAATCTATTTATAATTGTGGATACATCTGTGGAAGCACTTTCAGAGACTATCTGGTCATGCTCTGGAATTCTCAAGAGCTGGGAGTCCTGGCGGGTATGTTCATGCTTCCTTTAACTTCAGTAATTACTTATATTAAAAAGCAAAATGAGAATATACTTATTTAGCTATTTGATAACAATTATTAAAACTATTTTACTCGGAAACTATAAACCAAGAAATATCTATCACTCCCAGAGGAAGTGGGGGCAGCTCGGTGTTGGAAAGAATATAGGTTTTGACGTGGGTCAATACTGGGTTCAAATCCCTAGTGTCACTTGTGATTAAGAACAAACTACCTCTTTGAGTCTGTGATCTTTACAATATGATTAATGCCTGTGGTTCTGTGGGATAAGCACTGGACTATAAGCAACTAGAAGGTTGATGACTCAAGTCCACCAACTGCTCCAAGGGCGAAAGATGAGGCTTTCTGTTCCCTTAAAGATGAACAGTCTTGGAAACCTCTATTTAGTGTCGCTATGAGTTGGAACTGACTCGACAACACTTAACTACAACACTGCCCACATTCTATGATAGCAAATATATAAAATAAGTGGGCATACCACAGGTGGCACATATGGTGGTGATGGTTATGTGCCATGGAGTCGGTTCCAACTCATAGCGATGGAGGCTGTAAATCTTTACGGGAGCAGAAAACCTAATTTTTTTCCTGTGGAACAGCTGGTAGTCTTGAACTGCTGACCTTGAGGTTTGCAACCCGATTCGTAACCACTACGCTACGAGACAGGAACTTAAATGGAAGCTGCTCGTCACTTCTAATTATTTTTGGAATGAAACAGGAGGAAGTAAATAAATAAATGGGCTTAGTAAAGGAAAGATGTTCACATGATTGAGGGGGAAAATGAATGAGGAGGCAAATTTGACTCATGAAAGGTAGGGGTTACATCTTTCTCAAAGTACCTAACAGAGTGCTTAGCCTATGAGATGTGCTGGCTGAGTTTAATACACTGACAATTTTCAGACCTTAAAAGGAAGTGACTGGTTGTCTCAAAATGCAAATTCCTTCTTTCAAATAGGAACAAGATCCAGGAAGTGACTTCATTGATGTTGATCCTTTGGCCTGAACTACTTTCTCTGTCTTGGAAAAGTCTTCCTGCCTTTTGCAAATCAATTCATCCTTCAAGGCCCTGTCGGCTGCACCTCCTCCAGCTGAGCCTTACCCGTGTACTAGCTGGATGGGATTGCTATAGGCTTTGTTTTATAAGTAAGCACTAAAGAATATGATACCATGTATAGGAGTCCTGGTGTGGCACTGTGGGTTAATGAGTTAGACTGCAAGGTTGGTTTGAACTGCAAGGTTGATGGTTCAAGCTCACCATTTGCTCCTCAGAAACCCTATACAGGGTTGCTCTGAGTCGGAACCAACTTGACACACTCAACAATATCAACCATGTGATAGTCTCTCTGTATGCTTCCCTATCAAACTCTGAGCTTCTGAAAGGCAGTGTCCATAAGTCTGACCCATGTTGTGTGATTCATGAAGGCCCACCAAAGGGCTCAGCACACAGATGGTGCATAAATGAAGTCCTCAACTCAGTGATTTACTCTCAGATTTCACTTGTATCCACTTCTTCAAGTACACATGGTGGTGGCAGAGGGCACATAAACATTTTCTTAATACTTCACTAATCAAAATCACCTCTCCTTTTCCAAATTCATCCTGGCCTGGTGAAAATCAGTTCTCATCTGTCATCCCTTGCTGGGATCTCACCATTTTCTTCCAGGATATAAAGATTAAACTCCCAAGTGCGGCCTCAAGGCTCTCCACCTTCAATCCTTCAGTTGTTTCTTTCTTAGTATATCTTTTTAAAGGGACCTTTTCTTTTACCTTTACCCTCAAACAAGTCTCCCTGTCTTGCTCTTATGCATTCTTTCGAGGGGGGGAGGGTTTGTTAGAGGGACTATAGAGTATAAGCTTGATGAAGGCAGAGATAGTGCCTTTGTGTTCACCACATCATCTTCCCACAACAAGTAGCAGAGTAGTGCTTGGGGCAGTTCGTGCTCCATAAACAGCTGAAAGGAAGTGAAAGCCAAACACAGAGTATGCATCTGGGGTCCTGGATAACAATAGGTTAGGTATCTGGGTAGGAAGAAGACTTGTATCTAGTATCAACTGTGGTATTCTATCTTTCCCCACTTCATCAGAGAAAATGGAACTTATCCATCCCTGTGAGAAATCTACACATTTTGCTAGAAAACCAAGTAAGGGCTAAATATGTCAATCTGGTTGATTTTGCAATATTCCTCAGAGTTTGCTTGATATAGATTCCCAGTCTCCACCCTGGGTTCTGATGCAGTAGGATGGAGTACGGCCAGGAATCTGTATTTTAAAATAAGTATCCCAGGTACTTGTTACACTCAGACAAACTTATTTTAAAGTGGTCTGAGCCTTGGTTGCACACTGGACTTACCTGGTGACATACATACATATATATATATATATATACATATACACACACACACATATATGTATAATATATACACACACACACAAATATATACACATATACTGATGCATAGGTCCCACCCCCAGAGAATCTGATACAACTGATCTATTACGGTACAGCTTCCTAAGTAATTCCAATATGCAGGCAAAAAGAGAAATATAATGGTGGTTTTCAAAGAGTGGACTCTGGACCACCAACATCCAGAATCCTCTGAGGATTCTAGTTAAAAATGCTGATTTTTAACAACTACTTTAAATATATTTGTAGTTGATGTTTTAAAACCCGAGTGCCAGAGATTCTGAACTAATATTGATTGAGGAACCACTGACTTAATCTTCTCCTCTGGTTTTGAGTAACATGAAGCTCAAGAAGAGAAAGGATATGTTCAGAGCCAAACAGCAAGACTAGGCCAGAAAGGACCCAGGACCCAGGCCTCCTGCTTCTGGTCTAATGCCTTTCATTGTCTCATCTCCCTGTGCCATACTATCATGTCCTTTCTGTTAAGAGGAAGATGGTGCAAGCTTTTGGTCTCTGTGTGTTACAGTGGCTGATCGAAGGGTCCTGAGCCATACCTGTGATTAAGGAGCTGACTTGCAGCACCAGGTTATTTGACTTCTCCAGGATGCACTGACTCTCAGGGTCTAGGCTCCTGGTTCCTAGCCTAGGATGGTCTCTATGGCTCTCCTGGCTCTGCAAGATGGTGGCATGAGGATGAAGGCTGAGGGGTAAGAAAGGCTTGGCAAGCTTCTGGCTGAAGTACTGCTGGATCTGATCTAGCTCACTCAGATTCCTCCTGTAAGAAAAGAGAGGGAAAGAGCACAAGCAGATCATTCAACATTAGTTACAAGCATCTTTTATGTCCCCTGGACACTACTTGAGCCAAGATCTACCACTTAAGCCTGGATATTATTACTTCTTACTTGAAGATCCATCAACAAACACATCACTCCTCTACCCACAACCCACTGCCAGGGACAGATCTCTGCCCACTCTATCTAGTAACATGGTTCCTTTCTCCTAACATCCAGCAAAAATGCCACCTCCTTTATGGGAGCCATTCTTGATCAGACTCCCAGCCTTCACTAACCCTTTCTGACAGGAGGAGGTTCCACTGAGGAGAACAGTGTTTTTTCTATTTCATAACAATTCCTGATCTTTCAGGCAAGTGACCCCTTGAAAGCAAACTTTCCCTGACCTTCTAAATGTGTTTAAGGGTTCCTTCCTCTGTGTTTCACAGTTATGTACACTTTAGTCATATCTGTTGTTTATTCTGAATCTGTCTCCCCTGAGCTCCTGTGAGCTTTATGTGGATCTCTTTGTATCTATTGTACATAGTAGTGTTTGGAACAAAATAAATGAATGTTGAGTGGATAAATGGGCACACACTATTAATGGGGCTACATTCATTCTTTCCACTCTCCAGTGGCACTACCCTCAACTTCAGTTATGTAGGTTTCCCATTTTATGCTTTTATATACATTACCTTGTTGAAGTCTCAGCCAACCTGGTGAGACCAGTTATTTTACAAACAAGGAACTTAAGATTCAGAAGATTTGAGTGATTTGTTCAGGGTAAGTAGTAGCATGTAGCTACTCACAATCTGGGACTCCAAACCTGTACTCTTTCCATGCTATTAGGTGGGCTCTGTCCCCATAGGCTCATTCTTGCCTCACACCTCTGCTCAGGCTACAATCTGAGTTGAGGACACTTCCTGCTCTGCCCCTATTGCATTCAATTTTTAAAGTGTAGCTTCTATTTCTTCTTTTCAAAACTCTATCATCTCGGCCATTTTGTGAAGAGACGAAGACGAGCGGTCAGCTTCTTCACGTAGAACCTGGGAGAAGGAGATTCATAAACGAATCTCTTCTCCCTTTCCCCTCCTGGGCAGCAAGACGAACCCCATCCCTATTCACTGGAGCTCAGCTTTGATTTTTAAACTCCCTTCCCTTACCTTTCCAGAACACACACATTCCCATTCCAAAATTGATTTTATAATGGCATTTTAAGCATAATGATGCAACTTGGTGTGGAAGATGGCAAATTTAGAGGTGTTTTATTATTTTTTTTAATTGTTTCTGAAAAACCAGGACCTGGTTTTAAGATTGAGATTTTTTTTGATCTTCAGCTACATTTTTCAGTTGTGTGACGAACCTTGTCAAAACACCATGTTACCAACAAGACAGACCCTCGCTCTAAGAACTCCCGAGTGTTTATTGGAAATCTCAACACTCTGGTGGTCAAGAAATCTGATGTGGAGGCAATTTTCTCAAAGTACAACAAAATGGTAGGTTGCTCTGTTCATAAGGGCTTTGTCTTTGTTCAGTATGTTAATGAGAGAAATGCCCGGACTACTGTGGCAGAACAGGGTGTCAGAATGATAGCTGGCCAGGTTTTAGATATTAATCTGGCTGCAGAGCCAAAAGTGAACAGAGGAAAAGCAGGTGTGAAACGATCTGCAGCGGAGATGTACGGGTCAGTACCAGAACACCCTTCTCCGTCCCCTCTACTCAGCTCTTCTTTTGACTTGGACTATGACTTTCAGCGGGATTATTATGACAGGATGTACAGCTATCCAGCACGTGTTCGTCCTCCTCCTCGTATTGCACGTGCTGTAGTGCCCTCAAAACGCCAGCATGTATCAGGAAACACCTCACGGAGGGGCAAAAGTGGCTTCAATTCTAAAAATGGACAGAGGGGATCTTCTTCCAAGTCTGGAAAATTGAAAGGAGATGACCTTCAGACCATTAAGAAGGAGTTGACCCAGATTAAACAAAAAGTGGATTCTCTACTGGAAAGCCTAGAAAAAACTGAAAAGGAGCAAAGCAAACAAGGAGTAGAGATGAAGAATGATAAATCCGAAGAGGAGCAGAGCAGCAGCTTCCTGAAGAAAGATGAGATTAATGTGAAGATGGAGTCTGAGGGGGCTGCAGATGACTCTGCTGAAGAGGGGGACCTACTGGATGATGATGATAATGAAGATCGGGGGGATGACCAGCTGGAGTTGATCAAGGATGATGAAAAAGAGGCTGAGGAAGGAGAGGATGACAGAGACAGCACCAATGGCGAGGATGACTCTTAAGCACATAGTGGGGCTTAGAAATGTTACCCCATTATTTCTTTACCTAGGCGCTTGTCTAAGGTCATATTTTTCACCAGATCTTCTTCCCTAGTTTCTTCAGCCACATGCTCACTGTTCTCCCCATCCTTGTCCTTCCCGCGTTCATTCATTCATATTGCCCTGCGCCTGGTCCCATTTTCACTTCCTTTGACGCTCCTAATAGTTATGTTAAGTCTTACCCTGTAATTTTTGCTTTTAATTTTGATACCTCTTTGACTTAACAATAAAAAGGATGTATGGTTTTTATCATCTGTCTCCAAAATAATCTCTTGTTATGCAGGGAGTACAGTTATTTCCATTCATATATGAGTTCAGAAGTTGCTTCCCTAATTGCACAGGCAATCTCATTTAGTTGGGTAGCACTTGAGAACAGCTTTGAGTTAGAAATATATGTGTTATACCCCACATAAGTACTGTGTGGGGCTGTTCAACACAAATGTAACAATGTATTTTTTTTGTGAATGAGAGTTGGCATGTCAAATTCATCCTCTAGAAAAATAGTGTAATAGTCTTAAGATTTGTTTTCTAAAGTTGATACTGTGGGTTGTTTTTGTGAACAGCCTGATGTTTGGGACCTTTTTTCCTCAAAATAAGTCCATATTAAACCAGGTATTTGGAGAAAAAACAAAACAAAACAAAAAAAAACAAAACTCTATCATCTCAAATCACTGGGCCACCTCTCCCTTAAACCCCTTCACTCTTGGCATCTCCATCAAACCTCTTCTCTTAGATTTCTCCTTAATTTTATCAGGTTCCCTAACTAGGCCATGAACATCTGGAAATAGAAGACAGTATCTCAAACTTCTCTACATCTCTCAGGGTGCCTGGTACAACTGGCACAGCACAGACACTACATACCTGTAAAGTGAACTGAGGTTTTCTCTTTCCTCTCCTTTTGTTATGAACAGGCTTGTGTCTCAGAGCCAAATTCAAATTAAATGAGAGGGTAAAACTGATACTTATTTTATCACTGAAGGCCACAACTCTATCAAATCAGAGTGGTAAGAATGAATGTAGCCCCATTACTTGTATCTAAATCCGGTCTATGCCACATGGATAAACACCTGCTACAGGAACATGCAAATAAATGTAAACGTGCTCAATTTTAAAAATATGCAAACCCACTGGTCTTGTCATGGCATATCAACTTATAAACATTAGGCTGCAATCTTCTCATGTGTGAGGCAGAGTTATTAATACTGATCCTGCTGGCCTCATAGGATTGCTGTGACTTAAATGTGGCTCTGTATTATGGTTCTAAGAGCCAAAGGAAGTAATGAAAATGATAGGATTTTGTTTCATCTTCATTTAATAAGAATTTCTTTACAGCACTGGTTCTCATAAGCCAGTTTCTAGGACTAGTATCTAGTATCAGCATCACTGGGGAACTTGCAGAAATATACATTTTCAGGGACAATCTTAAACCTAATGAATCAGGAATTGTGGGGGAGGGTCCCAGTAATCAGCGTCCCAGTAATAAGCTCTTCAGGTGATTCTAATAAATACTGAATTTTGAGAACCACGGCTGTACATATGGTTGTAAAACAGATGTGAGGGTGGTTATTAAGTTTTTTGTTTTTTTTTTTAACTTTTTATTGTGAAATGAGTGCAGGTTTACAAAGTAGATCATCAATTTTACATTAAATCTTTGCTTCATTACAACGATTGCAATCCCCTCCATGTACCATCAACAGTACTTATCTCGATTTCCTTTAACTTTTTTTTTTTAATTTGAAAGTTCTCTTTATTTCACAGCTGCCTTTATGTAACGACACCATTGAAAATGCACATACACTGGAGATTTCCCAAAGAATAAGAGTTGGAAATAAAAGTTTAGGGTAACTAGGAGAACTGAAATTGTTCCAGAGAAGTTCTCAGGATCATACTTTATTAAATGTCCTTGAAAACCCCTTCAAGTTGTGAACATGTGGCAATTCTGGCCAGGCTGCTCTGTGGCTAGTTCTGTATTAGGTGCATTTAGCTTCTCCTCCATAACTTGCTTGAGGATGATGAGTGAAGACTTTCTGGCTTCTTTTCGTGTCATAAACTTGCGGTAAACTTCTTGCAAGGAGCTCTGGGCACCCTCTGAAGCAGAGTCAATTGATCGAGCATCACACTGTACTAGATTCAGATGGGTTCATATAAAATAGCTGTGGTCCTTTCTCATCAACAGCTCTAAATAATAGCACTATTCCAGAGACATGGCACGTGGATCTAAGTCTTCTCCAAACTAAAGCCACATTGGACATGCTCTCCACTGTCCTTGTTTCACTGCAGGTGAAGCAATGGGTCTGTGTTTCCACTGTGGTTTTAGCAATTAAAACCGATGTAAGCACCGATCTCTACAATTTTCTCAATGCTCCTGGGTTCCATGGAGGTAATTTTCTTCTCCACAGCTAGGCATACACCCTCTGCTGTCTGGATCCCAATGGCTATAGAACCAAGCTTTATAGCTTCAATGGCATACTTCACTTGAAATAATCTTCCTTCAAGAGAAAAAGTATTCACGTCCCTGTTGTTCTTAAACCAGGTAATAAACATGGAGAGGGAAGGAGAAGGCAGCAGTAGCTACTCTGAGATCCTCTATTTCCTTTAACTCTTGCACTCCGTGCTGTGTCTTTGGGGTTTGGTTTTTTCTTTTATTGGTTTTGTGTTTTAATTCTCCTCCTACTTCTCCTTCCATTCCCTTGCATTTTATTCTATCTCCATTTTTGTTTTTACTACTTTTCTTCTGTTTCTCATTTCCCCTCTTCTTCCCTTCTCCCCCCTTTTGATCTTTCTTTACTACTCTCTCTTTTCATCTTTCCTTTTCCTGGCTCTTCTGTTTCTTAAAATGTCTTCCTTTTATTTCTTCTCTATGTTTCTATTTTATAATTCTGTGACAGTTAATGTTCTGTGTCGATTGGGCCAGAATTCTAGTTGTTTGGTATCACAGAGTTAACTCTATGATGACCGGCTATGAGAAGCCAATCAATTGAAATGATGTTTCCTTGAGAATGTGGCCTGCCCCCAATATAATGGACACACAGGAAAGAGTCACTCTCTCTTTCTGCTGAATCTGGATCTTGCATCTGTGTCATCCTCCCTCCAACCTCCAGTTCTTTGCACCTGAGCCAGTGGCCTATCCTACTGTGTGTTTGCCTGCTGGGCCTATCTACACAATGCGCCTGGAAGTGGCTTTAGGGATGCTGATCTGTGGTGTGTGTGCCCACCTGCCAGAAGAACTGGATGCCCACTGGGGAACCTTGCATGCCTGCTCCTGTTGTTCAGGCTCGTGTGCTCCATGCCACCAATTCTGCAGCATGCCTGCTCAGGCCTTGGTCGCTGAATGTAAAACTTACCATCTGTTCTGTAAACCTTCACACAATCCACAATAAAGTTTTTTTTTTTCCATATTTAATTTTTTAAATTCTAAGTTTCATTTAGCAAGTTTTGATGAACAACCTAAAGTTCCTGCGTTTATAGAAGCAGTGACAGAGCCTTCTGATGGAATGGAAGCCCCCAGGCTCAGCTTCATTTATGAGGAATTCTGTGCGGCTCCATGACGTAACTTGCATGAGAGCCTTATCCTGACCCTCGCCTAGAAGTGGTGGTGGATGGAAAAAGCATGGTGCACATTGCCATTGCCCATCCACCTTGTGCTCCACTATGGTTTCCTGTAGAAGGCCTCACCTGAGAGAAGTCAGAAGGGAGGTATTGGAGGTCACGGGCAATGTACTTGGCTTGTCATCGCTTGTCAAGACTGCATCTCCCCGGTGCAGGGATTCATGAAATCGACGAATCTTCTGCACATGCTCTTCATGACGTGAAGCCTGACTTCTTGAGGTCCAGTTTCTGTCAAGAATAAATGAAGATAAATTCTCAACCAATGAGAAAACTCCTAGTGTTACAACCAACAAGTTACTCTCCTGAAATGATACTGCAAATCCATTCCCATTACCACAGTTTTGGCTTCACCAACTCTTTCTTGGATTATAACTGCCTCTTAATTGATCTTGCTTCAATCTCAACTCCCTCTAATCTGTTATCTACTGAGTAGGTATGTACACTGAGTAAACATCCTAAAACAAGACTAATAGTATTTAAGGAGTCCTAATTATGTGCCAAACACTGTTATAAGCATTCAGCATCTATCAACCTATTTAATCACCTTTCTAGTTCCTTTTCACCTTTAGCTTCCCCAGTTTTATCTATAGAATAAATTTCAAATGATTTAGAATGACATTCTAGAATTTGACTGCAGCAAAATTTTCTTTTTCTTTTTTAATAAAACAGCTTTATTGTGATACAATTCACCTACTACACAATTCATTCATTTAAAGGATACAGTTAAATGGGTTTTAGTATATTCAGAGTTGTGCAACTATTACCACAATCAATTTTAAACATAGTCATCACCTCATAAGAAACCCAGTACTCATTACAGTCATTCTGTTTCCCTCTAACCTGCCCAGCTCTAGGCAGAACTAATCTAATTGGTCTCTATTAAAAGAAAAGAAAACAAACCCACTGTTTCCAAGTTGATTTTGAATCTTAGTGACCCTACAAGACAGAATAGAACTGTCCCATAGGATTGCCAAGGCTGCAAATTTCATGGAAGCAGATGGCCACATCTTTCTCTCCTCTGGAGTGGCTGCTGGGTTCCAACTACCCACTTTAGGTTGGCAGTCAAGTGCTTATCATTGTACCCTGAGGGGGCTCCTTCTTTCTCTAAAGATTTGGCTACTCTGGGCACTTCATATAATGAAATAATATATAAGATTGAGTCAAAATTTATCTATACTCTGGCAGTAGAATTTATTTTAATCAGTTTTTTTAGGAAAGAAAAATACATCATTTTTCAACACCATCACCTTGCTTTTCAATATACTTTGTCCATCTGTCAACAAGCTTTCGTATTCTCTTATTAAAAAGTGTTTTAGGCTGAGGTGCAAGCCCTGAATGCACTGCTGTTTTCACTT